TCTCTCTCTCTCTCTCTCTCTCTCTCTCTCTCTCTCTCTCTCTCTCTCTCTCTCTCTCTCTGACACACACACACACACACACACACACACACACTTCCCCCTGTTCCTCTCCTCCCTCCACTGTCCTCTTTTCTTCCTCGTCAGAGAATGCACCTGTCAGAGAATGCACCAATTAAGCCGCCATTTCATCAAAAGATTACAATTATCAAAACATTATATTATAATCATTTAAATTTCAAATATCATATATAACTTGATAGAAGTTATATATGATATCAGGCGTAGAAGTGCCTGAAAGAGACTGTAGCGACTGGAATGAACCTTCTCTGCTCTGCAGTCTGCGGAGCCAAATGATTTCATCGTCCTACAGCGAGGCCCCTGTGCATACAATGCCATTTTCTCCTTGCTGACAATTGCAACCCGAGTACTGTTTCTGATTTGGGAGACATTGTCGGCTGGATAGGAGCGGAGCGCTGCGGCGTTTGCGCAGAGGTGACAGTGCTGCGGCTGGCGTGGACATGGAAGTGCTCTCTTATGCAACTACGGGAAAATGGTTGCAAATGACAAAATTGCGCACTTGTAAATCGCAGTTTGCAATACGCGATGTGTGTGCAGTGTGGCATCACTCCTGGCGGCATCATTGTTTTGTTTGTTAACATAATATGGATTTTCAATGGAATGTACTGGCGCTAGCCAGCCTTAATGTGAATGGCATAAGTCGCCCAGATAGAAGCATCATCTTAAAAGATGTTGATCATGGGCTGATGTGGACCAGCGCAATTACTGCCGGCCTGAAGGTTGTGATGTGATGGCCATTATAAAAAAAAAAGGGATGGGACAATTGGCAATGCCTGCATTAGATACGATGAACAGAAGGGGAATTCTGAATTTCGGATTTCCTTGCTTCTTTTTCCAGGCCACTTGTTTGTAGGCAGTGCCGTATGCATTCTCTGTCTCTGTAGTTTAGGCTCTAATTTTGATATGCTTACGCTATTTCTGTGTGTTTCTTTTGTGTTCATGTGTGTGTGTGTGTGTGTGCGTGTGTGTGTGTGTGTGTGTGTGTGTGTGTTTGTGTGTGTGCGCGCGTGTGTGTGCGTGTGTGCACACACGTGCACGTGTGGGTGACATGCTGTATGGCCATGGGAACCATGCGTGATCAACTATCCATGATTTTGAGTTCACTAAAAAGTGTCATATGCATTCTCTGTCTCTGTAGTTTAGGCTTCTAATATTGATATGCTTACCGTCTTTCTCTGTGCTTTCTTGTGTGTGTGTGTGGGTGACATGCTCTATGACCACGGGAACCATGCGTTATCAAGTATCCATGATTTTGAGTTTACTAGGGAATGTGCGATCTTTGATCTGCTGGACATAAGTATTGTGCATGGATGGATTATCGATCCTCAGGTGAGTCATAACTTGACTACCCCTAGGTCCCACTTTTTTTTTTATAAAGAAATAAACTTTAATGAAGGGCAACGGCCTTGAGATACAATCATTTGAACTGACCGGCCCTAGGTAATTCAAATTTGCAGTGTTTTACTCATCTGCTTCATCTGCTTCGAACCGAGTTCGAACTCAGGTCTGTATTTCAACTCTTCAGGGGTGTACCAACTGAGCCAGGTCAGTTGGTAGGTCCCGCTTATTTCTATGAATGATTTACATATGAAATCTACTGTGGTCTATCCTTCTCTTCAAAGAAGCAGCGCCTATTCATGAAACTGCAAGTGGATATGGTAAGCAGAGCTAGATCTACCGATGATAGAATCTATGCCATGGTTTGCCTGTTGACACCCCACCATTCGTTTCTTCTCAAGGAGCTCTGGCATGAACAACTCTGCGTTCTCTCATCTTCCGATTCTTCCCCCTCCCACCCTTTGCCAACGACTCGCTTTTTCTCCTCTTCCTGCTTTCCCCTTTGGCCACCTATCTCTCTCTGGGAATTTTTTTTGTTTGTTTTTGTTTTATTGGCTCGCCGTCGGAACTCTTGAGGCGTCAAAAATTGAGGTAAGCTGTTGTGTGACCAGCCCAGGGTATTCGTTAGTTCTGTCTGTGAAACAACATTCACCAGTTCGCAGTAGCTGATGCAGATCCCAGGGCTCGATCCCTAGTCCCCACCTTACCTGTGTACAGTATCTGTGTCGACCCCTAGAGTTGAACCCGCGATCTGTGTATTTGTAACAGTTGGTAGGTTGTCGTAGGGTCTATAGGTAGCAGGGGTTCGATCTGTAGACCTGTCGAGTAGGAGTCTTAGTCAGGTCTAGAAGTCGTAGCTGTAGCTTTCCCGAAAGGTCAAGGTCGTAGCTGCTACAGTCCAGAAGGGTCAAAGTCGTAGCTGCTACAATCACGAAAGGCCAAGTCTACGGCTTTCCGGAAGGTTCCAGTAGCGGCCTTTCGAAGTTGCCCACGTTTAGACTGAGGCAAGTGGGCAAGTGGTGAGGCAAGTGGTGGAGTCTGCCCGTGCTGAGTCAGCAGTCCCAGTCCTAGGCAGTCCTGGTCCAGTCCAGCAAGTACCGCATGGGACTGTGTGCACTTCGGGCATGGGAAAGGGCCAGACCAACGAGCTGCAGAAGTATAAATCAAGAGGCAGCGCCCAGTCATTCATTCATTCCTGCGTGAGCCATGCGGAAGCCCTGCCACAGCGACTTGTGCAAGGAGGTCTGCAGTGAGCCCGAGGACGAAGTGGGCAAGGACGACAAAGTTTAGCCATAGCGATAGGGTAGTTGCGGCCATAGCCGCCATAGCTGTAGTTAGTGTTCAGTGTGTGTGTGTGTGTGTTCAGAGAGAAGCGTGTGGGATATCCAGGGTGATCCACTGTATGCGAACAGAGAGTTGTTTGGGCGCTATTTCGCCATAGCCATTGAAAGTGAACTCATATCTGGGTTGCCATATCTCCGAGTTTTGAGTGGCCGCATGTCGCCAGTTGCTGCGCTACTGTTTGCATGCATGTAAAGTGTGAATGAAAGTGAGTCTGATTGCATTGGTATCGGAGCTGGTACCCGCTGTTCCACGCGCCGCGTTGTGTGTCGCAGGGAGTGATGCGCCATAGTTGAGGTGGCCGCCGAAGGAAGAAGTCCGCCATAGCGGACCTAAAGGTTGCAGAAGCCGCCGCGCACACCTGCAGAGAAGACCACGACGAAGGAGAAGACCGAGAGAGAGAGAGGGAGAGAGAAAGGTTGAGCGATACAAGATTGTTTTGCGACGTACCTGCGTTGAAGATATTGCTACGGAGAGAGAGAGAGAGAGAGAGAGAGAGAGAGAGAGAGAGAGAGAGAGAGAGAGAGAGAGAGAGAGAGAGAGAGAGAGAGAGTGATACAAGTTTGGTTGTCACTTACCTGTGAAGTGTGCCGTGCAGTCCCACGTAGTGAGAGGCGGCCATAGCCGCGGAGCTTGACCACGGAGAACGAAAGAGG